TTCGGGGTGGGGCCGGGTCCACGGGGGCGGGGCCGAGGGATTCAGAAGCGCTTGTCCTTCACCAGGCCGTTCCTCAGTGGCTTCCTGGGGGCCAGAACCAGCGTAGGTTAGCCTGGGAGCCCCACGCGGCCGCCTGGCCCTCTTTCCTGCTTCTTCCCTGGCCGTTTCACACCCCCCAGCTCCTCTTACCCGGCCAGGCCCGGGCCTCGCCTTCACCCTGCCTCTCCTTCACCCTGCCCCGTAGGCATGTATGTCCCTCCTGTCACCCTGGCACTTCCTCCTTGCTTCCCTCTCCCCAGTTAAACCTTCCTCTTCCCCTCCTCCCTGCCTCTCCAGGCCGCTGCAGGGCAAAAGCCACGCACCAGCCTGGGCCTGACCACTCCACCGCCTCCACAGTGGGACCCTGCACAATCCTCCTCTCCTCTGCCACCCACCCCACGAAGGCTCGTCCTTGGCTCCAGTGGCCCTGGCTGGCATCTGCTGTCCCCCTACTTCCCTTTTTTTTTTTTTTTTTTTGAGACAGGGTCTTACTCTGTGGTCCAGCTAGAGCTGTGGCACTATCATAGTTGGCTGTAGCTTCAATCTCCAAGGCTCAATGGATCCTCCCACCTCAGCCTCCAGAGTAGCTGGGATTACAGGGGCACGCCACCACTCCCACTTTTTTTTTTTTTTTTTTTTTTTGAGACAGAATCTTGCTCTGTTGCCCAGGCTGGAGTGTGGTGGCACAATCTCAGCTCACTGGAACCTCTGCTTACTGGGTTGAAGCGAGTCTCCTGCCTCAGCCTCCCGAGTAGTGTGGTGGCGCCTGCTAATTTTTAATTTTTAGTAGAGAGGATTTCACTGTATCACCCAGGCTGGTCTTGAACTCCTGACCTCAGGTGATCTGCCCACCTTGGCCTCCCAAAGTGCTGGGATTACAGGCGTGAGCCACAGTGCCTGGCCCCAGGTAACATTTTTATTGTTTGTTGAGATGAGGTCGCTATGTTGTAGAGGTGAGGTTGTTATGTTCCCCGGGCTGGTCTCAAACTCCTGGGCTCAAGCAGTCAGCCCGCCTCCACCTCCCAAAGGGCTTTTGTCACTTTCATTTGCTCTTCTCTTAGGCTGAAGCTCAGCTTCTCTGCATGCATTTCACAGCCAACTGGCTGTCCCCATCGATGGCTGTTGGTCTTTATCTGAGAGGAGATAAGCCCTGCTTGGACCTCCCATCTGTCACTTGTCTTCTGACTTTGCCTGCGATGCTTGAGACCGTGAGTGGTGTTTCTTCATCCACCCTTGTGGCTTCTCGATTCTTCCCATAAACAAACCTCCATGACACAGTCTCTCCTTTTGGCTCTGGGATGACTCCAGGGATTCCATTTCTGCATCGACACCTTAGGTACAAGGTGGGGGTTTGCTCTGAGGCTTACGAGAAACAAAGACACGCCCTCACTGTTTTCCAGAGGGTCCCCACGCTTTCCGTTCCTGCTCTCCAGGATGGTCTTTAGTATTTGCCAAAGGTTTTAAGATCTTAGGTCAGTTTCTCCACTCAGTTCCCACAGAGAGTAGATTCCTCTAATGGTAAAGTTTAGCATCCTTGGTGATGGGTGCCCCCGCCCTGGGCCTTTTTATCAGAGCTTTCCTGCTGTTTCTTGTTTGTTTTTTCTGCACAAGCTTCTAAGTGTTCTTTACCCACTCAGAAACAGCTGTCAGTATTTGCCTTTTGGGGTGTGGGTGGGGGTGTACCCACCTTGGGGGAGATAGCTTTTCTGGTTTTTTTCTTGTTTTTTTTTTTTTTTTT